ACGGAATCCCAAAGGGTGCTGGACCATTGAAAGGCAGGAACATCAGAGCTAATGAGGAGACATCCTGCACGATCTTCTCACGGCTGGGTCGCCAGTGGGTAGAGGCACAGGCAGCACTCTTAAATACATAGTATTTCTGCTCTGGGGCAAGGAAGGGCCTGCACTGCAGGACAAAGGCGTCACCACCCACACCTGAAACACACTTGCCAGAATGTTCCCTGCATCCACGTGCATGCGGCACCTAACTGGACAGCATGCTATTGGTGTCTCTGAGCCCACGATATTTTACGGTAAGTTCACACCCAGGAAGATCATTCACTAACTCTAGTAATAAACTGTTCCTAGTGAAAACCCAAGAAAAACCCTTTTTACTGTACTTTTTTCAGTACACCTGGCCTAGTGCTGTTCTTTGCAGAGAAGAAAATGATTTAAAGCATCATCCTGTTCTCAGATGCGAATCCCTGTTTTATTTGAAGCTCAGAAAATCTAAGGAGTGGGAGGATCTGTTCTTCACAAGGGAGGTGGGCAAAGAGGGGCGGATAGCAAAACACAGTAAAAAAGATGATATCCCAAGTCCAAAAACCAGAAAAACGAACAGACCAATGAAACTTAGGTAAAAGGGGCACCTGGGTGGCTCAGGTGGTTAAGCGACTGCCTTCGGCTCAGGTCATGATCCTGGAGTCCCGGGATCGAGTCCCGCATCGGGCTCCCTGCTCAGCGGGGAGTCTGCTTCTCCCTCTGACCCTCTTCCCTCTCGTGCTCTCTATCTCTCGTTCTCTCTCTCTCGAATAAATAAATAAAATCTTTAAAAAAAAAAAAAAAGAAACTTAGGTAAAGGGAGGCAGGGTCCAGCAGTTGTGAAGGCGCGTCATCCAGCAACCCTGCATCCGTGAACCCAGAGCCCTCGGTCTGGGTCCTGGCTCAACTCAAAAATCTAGTTTTCCACTTTGGACAAGTCCTCACTGGTCTTTCTTCCTCTGGAAAGTTGGTTTTTTGCTTTCCATTCAAGGCCAGTGCAATGATATGCAGAGAACAACACCCAGTAAAATCTCACGGCAACAACCCACAGCATCTGTTGGGGCTTCAAGCAGCTTGTCCGTAAAATTCCAGTTGCCACAAACTGCGCAGACGACCCCCAGCCCAGAACACACGCCCGGACGCCCACCTTCTCACCCACCCCTCCCTGTATATGAGCAGCACTTCTGCAGCTGGGCCGCCCTGCCTTCCCCCGTAACCACAACACCCACTGACCTCTGTGTCCACTTCCCCTTGCCCCATCCCTACCAACCATCCCGAGTCTCCAGGACATCCTTCCTGCAAGCCCAGTCGCCTCCTCGCCACGGCATCTGTGGGTCTGGCCCTTCTGTCAGATCCCCTGAAAAGCTCCACCAGCCTGGACTTGCAACCCGCTCCCACCTTCCGAGGCTCATCCGTGGAGGGCCCTCCTCGGCACTTTCCTTCTCTCCAGTCAGACTCAGAGTCCAAACCTCTCCTCATTCTGCTCAGACTTCACACACGCACTTGCAGTCGGGCACCTTCGCCAGCTCCGGGCCTCGCTCTCCAACCCACAGGCGGTTCCCACACAACAGCTCACTCTTCCCTAACCGGTACTGGAGTCCAAACTGAGCTGCTGGTCCCCAAACGGCCCCTCCTCCCCCCCCCCCCCACTCTGCACGTACTCAGCCAGAAACCACCACAGCCTCTCTCCTGCCAACACCCACAGGACCACCCGGGAGCCTTTCTCCTGGCAGCAGGGCTCCATGTATTTCTTCCCGAGTTTCAGTGCCTGGAACCCAGTCCGAGGCTTCATGCCCCTCTCCCTTCAAGCTGAACGAGAATCCAGGAGTGAGCGTTCCGACTCCGTGTAAGACACGACCAGCAGTGCCCTACCTCCTACCCAGCACACCTGGTCTTTGCGGCTGTACCGTGCGGGCTCCCCCAAGCACTTCACCTGGTCCCTCGTCCTTGACAGTCGCCCCAATAGTCTCGCACCAGTCCCTGCCGTCAGGCCAGGACGTGTCAGGCTCCGGCAGCTCCTCCAGCCACCAAACAGACGGGAGCCACACTCCGTCCAGAACTACTAGGTCTCACAGCTGAGACTTCCACTCAGAAGCGCCCACAGCTGACAGCAGACTGCAACACGATGAAATGCTCAGCAGTTGTCGCCAGCGGTGGCAGCAGCTGTGGGGAGTTCGACTGAGTGCAGGTCAGAAGAAAGGACCGTCATTCTGCTTCGGGGGCTGCCAACCTGAATGATTTTGAACACACGTTTCCAGCCCCAGTTTCTCAGGTGTAAAAATAACATGACACCTCCTGCCAACCTCACGGACTGAGACAGGCAGTGGGACAGGCAGGAAAGACAACATAAGTTCCTTACTCCATTTTTTCATCGCAGAGATCTCCATTTACAAGAAACCTGGCTCAAGCAGACTTCTTAGCCTCCATCAGAATGTACCAGGTAATGGGTTCTCAAATATGTAAAGTGTCCCCGTTTTGCCCCCTTCAAAGGCTTCTTCCTGTTCTTCCTAACCCTGCCCCTCTGCTCCCATGCCTCTTTTGTCCTTAACTGTTTTCTCATCAGGCAGGAATATTGTCACCCAATCTTTTCCTTGGTTATAAATATTTTTTAAATCAAAGCTAAAAAAGGGTAAGAGATTAAGAAACCTAATTTTTAAATTCAGCAGTGCACATCCTTAAGCTTCTGATTCTTCTCGATTCATGCTACTTCCAGAACGTTACTTTAGCTGTAAGAATGTTTTCCATTATTTTGGGTAACTGGAATCCCATCCAGCAGACGGCTTCGAATCCTTGTCACTGAGTGAAATATATTTTAGACTTTACTTTGTGAACCACCCAAGGTAGGGAACAATCCAAACGAAACCCATGCCAACCTTCCTTTAACAAAGGATGAAATCTCAGTGGAACACTTCAGTAATCCTAGCAAAGCACATACAAGCAGAACTTCAACTTTGTCAAAAAGTACAACCTATATACACCAAACAACTCGACGGTTTCATTATTCATTTCAAATTTCATTCTTGTGAATGCAAATCTAGAATTTATATGAAGTATGCAATCAACACTAAGCAGGCATGAAAAAGAAACAAGAATGACCCACATGGACGGAACATAAAGTCAAGGATTCTTACATAAGCGTAAAGGTGACGCATACCTTTAAAAAGCCTACAAGTACTCTACACAATTACCTAAAAAGTTTAACGCACGTTTTTCTAAATTCAGCTATTAACGCAAACCACCATATAAATACCTAAAGAATGAAACTTGAGAAGAAAAAGGAAAATTGAAAAACCAACATAAGCCTTCTCTCAATTCAAACTTAGAAGAATTTTATAACCAAAGCTTCTAGAATCCAACTCCACGGGACATTTCTAAAGAAAAATAGTGGAATGCAAACCTCAGCAATTTCCAAAGAACTATCCAACAAAAGAGCAGCCATGGTTGCAAGCCCCCACTCCTTCCCCTTCCCCAAGCAAGATTTTACAATGTTACACCCTACAACCACAGAGCATGCTGATTTCTCTGGACTTGTCTTTGCCCCGTTTCCTCTCTACACCCCCAGCCACCTCATCTCCCGTTAGACATGTGATAGTTTCAGACCCCCTGCAAAAACGAACCCTGAAACTAGTGAATGCAATGCAACCTCCACACCTTCTTTGCCCAAAATAACTGCGTGAGTATGGAGAGTTGAGGTTTCCGTTTTGGGTGTAGGGCAGGTTAAGTTGTGCCACTGCCTCAGGCCATTCTTGGCTGAGGAGCATCCTACCCTCTGGTCCTACTGAGAACACGGACTATGTTAGGTGCAGCATACTTGAAAGTGTAATCCCCATCCAGTCCCCAGGGAAGGCAAGGTATCGAGAAGCATACATACTGAGGCACAGGAAGCTCCTGAACACACGGATAGTAGGTGGCTGCACAGCTAGGGAACGCACGTGCTTCCGAAGACTCTGACCATGCCACACTGAGCCCAGCAAATTTGGGGACAAATGGTTTGACATCTGCTGACAACTTGATGCCCTGAGGAAAAAAGTGGGGGGAGGAGGGTGACTACCTACATTTGGAGGTAAAGCAAATGTGAACAAAAAACCCGAGGAAAGTCGCTGGGTTCTAGCAGTCCCAGAAATGCCGGTCGCAGGAGTGTCTGTTGTCCAAATACTTCAACCTCAAAAAACGAGAATCTGTTTGCTAACAACCTCTCCCTCAATGGTTTTTTACTAAAAGAAGTGGTCTACTAAATATTAAAGGGGGGGGGGCAAGCAATGAAAGTGGAAATAAAGTCCCATCCCGGTGAAAGAATCAGGACCACTTACAAAGTTCCCTCAGCCCTAACCTGCAGTACAGGAGTGTCTCCCTCCCCGCTGTCGTTACGGATAACCGAGAACCGAAAACTGCCGTGAGCAAACCCAGCCGCGGGACGGCTGACTCAAACGCACTGCGGAAGTTCGTTTCCATCAAATTTCTCAAAAAAGAAAAGTTACACAAATCCTTTCTTGTCGCTCAGCGAACCACTAAGAGTTGTTTTGTTGGAAAGCAAAAGCCAGCCCTGCTAGAAGGACACTCTACTGTCACAGAGCCTGGGGCTCTGAACGTAAAACCTGGTCTTCAGGGCCGCACGGGGAGACTGACTCCGACGCTCTCAGAAACCACTCGAGGGCCGCCTGGTGCGGCCGCCAGGGCTCCATCTAGCGGTGCTGCCGAGCAGGCCGGGCGGAGGCCAGCGCTTCGGCCAACGTCTGCCCGAGCTCCTAGACGCGAGCGCGGCGAGCCGGCGTGGGGGCGCACTCCCGGCGCCCGCGGCCTCCCCCGGCTAAGCGCGGCCGCCCCGACGCCCCGCGCCGCCCCCACTCCGGGGCGCCGTCCTCACCTCGCCCGCGGGCTCCCGAGGCCCCTCCGACGCCATGATGCGCGGCTCGGAGGAGGCCCGGCCCGGGAGGCCAGCAGCCGCCCCGTCGGCTGGCGGCACGGACGCGCGGCGCTCCGGCTCACCGCTTTTCCGTCTTCAGAGCTGACGCCAGGAAGTGCGTCACAGAAACGCGCCCGGGCCCGCCGCGCGTCCCCCTCCTTCCGGCCGGAAGTGCGCGCGCTGAAGGTCGTGGCCCGGCGTAGCGACGGCAGCCTTCGCGTCGGAAGAGGCGGCGGTC